TGCTTTTTGGCTCCCCGCCATTTCTGATGGGTCTTGGGGGGGTTGGTTGCTTTTGGGGGTTTTACCCCATTTCCGATCAGTCTTGCGGGTTTGTTTGTTTTTTGGCTCCCCCCCATTTCTGATGGGTCTTGGGGGGGTTGGTTGCTTTTGGGGTTTTTACCCCATTTCCAATGGGTCTTGGGGGTTTGTTTGTTGGTTGGTTTTTTTCCCCATTTCCGATCGCTCTTTGGGGTTTGTTTGTTTTTTGGGGGGCCCCATTTCCAATGGGTCTTGGGGGGTATGGTTGCTTTTGGGGTTTTTACCCCATTTCCAATGGGTCCTGCATGCTTCCCTTGCTTTTTCCTTTGTTTTCTTTGCATTTCCAATGGGTCTTGCATACTTGATTGCTTTTCCCCCCTTCGACCAGAAGGGATTAATCGCGTTTCCAATGAGTCTTGCTCTGATTTCTTTTTTTTCTTTTTTTTCTTTTTTTTTGTGATTTTCTTTTTTTCGGCCAGAACGGATTAATTGCATTTCAATGCATTCCTATCAGAAATGGTGCTTCGACTTACGACCATTTCGAGTTACATCCATCTTCTGGAATGGACTATGGTCGTAAGTTGAGGCACTGCTCTATTGGGTGGCCAGTCAAAATAGCATTCTGTAAGCCATTACTAATAGGAGGGTGAAAGTTCAAACAAAAAGTTACAACTTTTGATTTGCCAGCTTACAGACAGTATGGACTTGCTTTTTGCCAAATTTGGATAAGTTTTTTTTTAATCTCTTCCAATTTACAACTCTGGGAATACACTTTGCTACCATTTTTTTGCATCTTGTAGCAAATTTCATAGTTATTTCTCAAATGGCTACCACTGTTTCTTGAAAAGGAAATGGTTCCTCTTACAAGCTTTTACTAAAATGTTAAAATTGATTACTGCTATCATTTAGAAGATATGGGGCCATAAAATGTTTATTTTATGTAGAATGAGGTTCATACAGTCTGGTTGCATATGCTTATTGAAGTATTCCATAGGCATTGTACAAAGGTCTAGCCAGTACTTCAGGAATCTAATGTTTCTCATTGAAGTGAATGGGGCTTGTGTTTGGCCAAGATGGTAGATGGAGTCAGAGAAAGAGATTGAGAGGAGATGGGGAGTCACAGTGAGTGAGTGAGTGAGTGAGTGAGAGAGTGTGTGGGTCTCTCTCTCTCCCTCTCTCTCTCTCTCTCTCTCTCTCTCTCTCTCTCTCTCTCTCTCTCTCTCTCTCTCTCTCTCTCTCTCTCTCTCTCTCTCTCTCTCTGTGTGTGTGTGTGTGTGAGAGAGAGAGAGAGTTTGTGCCCATTTTACCACCGCCTCCTTCACCCTCTTATCCTCTAAATCGTATTCTGATTAATATGTATACATTTTAAAAATTAATTTCTCATTGCTATAATCCATAATTCATCCACCCAGACTTTCCCCTCAAAAAAGCCCATAATTTTATTCTTTTTGTACTGTATCTCGATTCTAATTTCATCATTGACCACCAATCTGTAGCAAGGCCCAGTTTCTCTAGATCTTGTTTATCTTTCATATTCTGGTCTTTAGTTAATCCATCTTTGTATGTGAGTAACGCTCCCTTCTGATTCAATACTTTCAGTTTAAATGCTTCTATTGGTGCTACCCATATTGGAATTTTCTTGTAGGTTTGTCTTTGAAATTTTTGCCATACTAAACAGAGCACCTTCCTCAGAATATGTTCTGCAAATGTGATAGTTCTTTGCATTTCCCATACCACACATATACATGCCAACCCATTTTCAAATCATGAACCTCCAGTTTCAATAATCTTTGTTTTTCCAATGTTATCCATTCTTTAATCCAAACCATGGCACATGCCTTATAATATAACAGCCAATTCAGTAATTCTGAACGGCCTCTTTCTTTAAGTCTTGCAATATTCTGAGTTTTATTCTTGGTTTCTTGGCCTTCCATACAAATTTCGAAATCAGGCTGTCCAGGTCCTTGAAGTATTTATAATTTAATAAGATTGGTAAATTTTGAAATAAAAATAACAGTTTTGGTAATATCATCTTTATTATCTTTCTCCTCTTATTTGCCAAATAGATAAATAAGACGGAATGTTGGAATTAAGGATCTTAGAATCAGGGGAGAAGCATTTAAGCTGCAAACGCATGCTGATGATTTACCGTATTTGCCGGCGTATAAGACAACTTTTTTGCCCTGAAAAACATCCCTCCAAGTGTGGGGGGGGGTCATCTTATACGCCAGGTGCACCCAGAGCGGGCAGCACGTAGCGCAAGAAGGAAAGAGGAGAGGTGAACGAGGAAGAGGAGGAGGAGGAGGAAGAAGAGGAGGCGGCAGAGGCAGCGCCTCTTCCGAGGAGGCAGCGGGCGGCTCCGGCTCTCAGGCACCGCATGGCCCTGCAGGAAGCAGCATGGATAGGCGAGCCCATGCTCACTGGCTCAGTCACTTCCTCACACAGTTGCCGCCATGGAAAGCTGCAGCAGCAGCAGCACCGCCTCCTTCTTCCCCGTGACCTACCACCATGTTGCCCGGGCAGAGAGAAGCTGGCAAGCAAACGGCACCTGCGACAAGCCAGCGCCGCCCCGCTCGTCACCAGTGCTGCCCCCGCACCAGGCTCCCAAGGAGACTTCCAGAGGCCGGGCGAGCGAACAGGCGCTGGCCTCTGCCTCGGGCCAGCTGGCAGCCCGCCCCAGAAATTTGCTTTCCTTCTCCTCCCTCTTTGGCTCCTCCGGAGGTGGGGGTAAAGGCAGAAGGAGGGTGTAGTCTTATACGGCGAGTATATAACAAACACTATATTTTGAGTGGAAATGTTGGGATCATCTTATATGCCCAGTCATCTTATACGACAACAAATACAGTAGCTATAATATCAGAAAAACCCCTGGAAAGTCTGGAGTAATTAGCGAGAACTATAGAAGAATTTGGAGCTGTAGCAGGCCTCAAAATAAACTATCAAAAAATTTCATGACTAAAAATATAAAGAAGACATGGAAAGATTGGTAATGATAACTAACTACGAGGAGGTACAAAAAGTGAAATTTCTAGGAGTTATTATTACAAAAAACCCAAGTAATTTGATGAAAGAAAATTATCTTACAACAGAAGGAAATTCAGAGAGACTTGGAAGAATGAAATAAGCTACAAACCTCAATGATGGGAAGAATCTCGACGACAAAGATAAAGAAGAAGAAGAGAAAGAAGAGGTTGGGCATCCTTCTGAGTATGCTCACAGACAGGGTATCTTGAAGACACAGTGTCCTGAATCATTCATTTCTTGGGTTAACAATACATAAGTGCTGGAAATGCTTGCACTCCAACTTTGTGTGAGCCTAGTCAGAAGGAAGCCCTACTGAATGAAGTGGGACTTATTTTAGCTATATATGATATTGTAGCCCAGAGCTCTAAATGATTACTTCCACTGCAAATTTGGATTTACTGTGTATTGTTAAACTTCTTTTTTAAAAAGCCAAAAAATTAAATTCTTTATTTAAAAAAATATATGGTTTCTGAACATGGGATATTGCTTCTGTATCACATTTCAAAATGTCAGAAAATGGCCCAACATCAATATCTTACCTGCCAGAAAAAGTATGCCAAGCTTTACCTAGCAAAGGCCAGCCTGAATGCTGAGAATGTAAGTATTGTACTAAAAAGGTTTACACATGATCCCCTCTAGTGTTCATTAGAATTTTCAGAGAGTCATCAAGCAAGGGAAAGTCCTGGAGCATGCATCCTTTTTTTATCAGTTCACCACATCTCACCCAAATACAAAGCAATTGTTGCTGTTGTTTTTTGACAAATTCTGTAGGTAGTTATTGTTAGCATAATAAATATCCTCTGTTCAAGTATAGACATCCAACTTATCATAATGGACTCTTATAATAGTTTGCTTATAGTTACAGCCGCCTAGAGTGGTCGTAATTGACCAGAAAAGGTTTACATCAGGGGTGTCCAACCTTTCACCTTCCCTGGGCTACATTAGAAGATGAAAATTTGGTTTGGGTCGCACATACATTGGGTTTGGGCCACATGGGGGGGCAGCCCTAGCCGTCTTCCGCAGCCCCACCCCAAGCGCACTTAATGGCAGCTGCAATCTCAGACAGCAGAGGCTGCCAGCTTCGACTCCGGCGGCTTTATGGGGCTGGGAGGGGGTCCACCTATTGACGGGGATGGCGCAATGCAGTCACGCAGCCCCTCAGCTGGGGCAAAACGGGGCCTATGGGGAAAA